GGAACTACTTAAATTTCAATCCCTGATAATTTGAAACATAAATTTCGTTTATATAGGCCATAAGTAACAGAGGACCTAAGACACAGGTTTGTATTACAACACGAAGAATCATAAAAGGAGTTTATTGTTAACTATTTCGTTACGAAAACTGAGAGACCGTATTATTTCCACTAGAAAATAAACTCACATCTTCTCAATCATAGATTTTATGTAGAAACGGAAGTTGTTCTCTTAAAAAAATGAGCCAGTTATTTCCTCATTACAGTAATAATTTTAATAGTCATTGTTAATCCAAGATATGTACTAAAGTAGAAAAACCATAACTTTTAATATACACTTTTACTGTGAAGTATGTCTCTTGTAGTGAAGTTCTTGTATTTGCATGATGTGGAGAGAAAAAAAACTTCAGAATGTTGTCATAGCTTTATATCTTAGTATGGTAAATAAACTTTCATGCATAATAATTAAAAAGGGTAGTGAAGTAAATATGTAATGTATTATAGACGAATGAATCCTGGTCTTTAATTGTTCTGAAGTGTTTTTGTATCAGATATACTACTTAATAATAACAAGTAGTTTGAGTGTATTAAGGTATATTTTACAATTTATATTAAGATTTTGACACAATCATTAGTTGTTTTTACTGATTTAAAATGTATCCTATAGCTTCATTCTTATCCACTTATTCGATAAATGTAATTTGTATTCGACAATACGTTTTTACAATGAAAACGACACTCAGACACATAGTGACTGTAAATTCATGTCATTTGTTTTATTTTACATATAAACAGTGCACTTTCATTTAAATCTATTCGTTTGGTTTCGATAGTTGAAGCATAGTTTGGTCGTTAGGCTAGGATAATTGTATACATTTTATGATTAGTAAAGTTACAAAATTTTATTGATTAAACCAACTTTCAGTTAACTAAGAACTCAAGAAAAAACATCGTGATTTATTTCGTTTTTTTTTTAAAAACTTAAGTTTTATACATTTCATTGCTTGATATTAGTGTTTCATATAATCTAACTGCAGTTTAAGACGATATCGGTTAGGTTTTCAATTTAGCCTTTAGTTTAAGATTTTTATTCACGTATGAACTTGTTATGTTCATATTACTACAACAGGCAATATTTATGTGTTCTATTCATTTTGAACGTAACTTGATTTCACTTGTTGGAACTGATAGATTTGTAGAATAAAAGTAATATACGATTGAAATGTTCAATCTTCCAAATATACATGTTCAATGTTGCAAGTTATTTGAGAGTGAATCACTGATGCTTTGTCTCTGATATGATATGTTTAGGCCCCCAAATGCCCTGGTACGGCCGAGAGTGGGGAGAGTCCGCTCTCCCTCTTGAAATGCTCTCACATGGCCACACGTATATAAGCTCTGCCAGGGAAGTCCTACTCATTGCCTTCTCGTGGCGGGGGTGTTGTTTACGAAAATGAGAGGACGAAAAGCGAATGTCCGGCGCTTTAACCCGATTCCAAACCAATGGTGCACATGGGCTCCAGTATCTTGCGCGAACAAATCGCGTATGAACCAATTGTTGGTCACCGGCTTCCATGGGACTGCATCTCCTGACGATGCTCCACTGCCTTGTGGATTAGACCTTCAGGTCGAAGGCCTCCTAAGAAGACCACCTGCTTCGGTTTGGGCACCCGGGCAGTATCACAGCCCTCACACATATCGAATGAGATTTGTGTGGTGCATATGTATTTAGTGCCTATTTGTACCAATATCTATGACATGTTTAGGCAAATGTAATAGATGTTTAGTAATTAGGTTGCCGTGTTTTCGATTGAATTAATGATGTAACTCATTTATAAAATACTGGTCAATTTACACGACTAATGTCAAATTCTCTGACGAGACCTAGTATCTAGATTTCTAATATCACCTAGTTAGAAGCTGTTGGCTTAATAAACTATTTATCCTAAGAAGACATACGAAATCACTTCGCTATGATCGATCGAAGCTTCTCATACAACTGATCTTCATCATTTTTGTGGTTATCATTGGTGGGTGCATAACATCCATGTTGATTCCTTCCTTTGTTTTAAAGGATGCTTTGCTGATTCTGGGTCCATGAGATTCTCATCCTATAAGTGCATTACGTGCTTATTTGGACAGAATTAGAGCAACTCCCTGAATGTTCGAAGCAGTCTCTTCTTCGTAAGCAGAGTAAAGCAGCATCCCTCCTTTCCTGTTTAGCTTGGGTCCAATCGATTCCACTGAGTCCAAGAACCACCATGTTGTATCTCCTCATTTGCGCAGCTATTTAACTGGTCCTCCCAGTCTCCCACATTATTCAGACATTCCATATACCAATATTTATCGTTGCTCTGGTTGTTAGAAGGGTCGTCGGTTTCGTGGTTTTTGAAGAATCTCGGCTTTCACCATGAGGCGTCATAACTCTTATGCATGAATATTCTTCGATTCCGAGGATGGAATTTAAATGGTTTTAGTTGCTTATCCTGGTTTCTTAGCAAGGTTGTTTTCTACGGGATGGGGTTACTGACTTATGCCCGGCCCTCCTCCTTTACCCGGGATTGGGATCGGTAGTAATCTTAGAATGGCTACGGCCAGAGTTATTGTTAAAAATAGTGGTAAGTTTACCCCAAGCTTGAATTAAGTAATTACATAATACCCGGTAAACCCATGCATGACATATAATCAGTATCCTACTGAATATTACGTTATTTCTACATAACGAAAAATAACTTTCGGCAACCATGTAATTGTCTGGTTGTAAATAATCCATAACCAGCATTAACGGCCATTCTTCACTGCTTTGAGACCCAAATGAACTGACCTTAGAAAATAAAATACTTCGTATGTTTCCTTACAACTACGCATAATATAGTCTAAATAAGATCAAAACATTTTATGAGTACGTTTGGGTTACACTGCATTTGTTAGTATAAATATTAGGGGACTACCCTAAAAGTTACTCTATTGAAAGTTGTTTGATGGAGATAGGTTTAACTTTACGAAGTGGTTAGGTGACAAGTGTGATTTAATGTCAAGGTTTTGAGTATTATTCTGTCCAACTATTTAGTACATGCTGATTTAATCAGTTATCACGAATAAGTTCGGAGTGATCATACCATTCAGTAATACGGGAACTTTCTATAAATAGTTCAAATTTGAAATTAATAATAGGCATATGGTAGTCTGTTTATTTCCAACAAATGAAAAGTCGAAGAGAAATTTCAAACTGGCTACAATATGCTGGGATAATTATTACTAAGTTGGATTCTTTAAAAAAAGCAGATGGTACCAACTAGTGTTTTGATTAATCACAATAGTATTAGAGTATTTAATAGACGAATACTCTACGATTATTAATCTAGATAATTAAGAATACAGAACACGTATACACTAGTTGAAATATCAAACATTTCTATTCGTTGAGAAACCAACTGATGTATTATCAGTGTTGTTCTTTATCTCACTCTAGTAACCATAAGGAGTAACATGGTTAAGAGAATTTCAGCATGTCGCCTTGAATCTTTGTTGAAAATATCACACTGAATGAATACAATCAAATCTGTTTATAATATTTTTGGAGGAGGACAGAAAACTTATGTCACAGTGTTAACTTGTCACGGTTCCATTTCTTAATGGTAATTATAAAGTTAGTATAGACACATAGGATTTTGAAATGTACTGTAATATTAAACTCTGTATGTTAACAGTTTTATCATTTCTGATCCTAAAAATATAAAAGATTAAGTTTAATTTTTAAAATACTTTTTGGAAAACTCAGCAAATGCACATTTGTAGCACAACTGAAACTGATTTTCCATTAAGAAAATAATCTACTAATTAGTAGTCTAAAAATAAAGTCAAAGCATATCAGTCAAATCGATTAGCCTTTGAAGAGCTGAAATTCATTCTGAATAAATGAATCTGAAGAACAGATACTAAACTGTTTGGAGAACCGTTAAAGTTATCTCATTTCGCAAAACTTGGTATACTTAAAAAAGTTCTCTTTCTGACAAATAATCGATGTTAAGTAATCCACTCTGCTTCCGATAAATTAGATAACTTGTAATTTTCATTGCATTATTCCTACCATTGTCAAATATGATTTAGCTTATTTAATAAGAATGAGATTGAATTAAGAAATGGGTTTGTGATAACAGTGAAGGTAGGATAAATTATAGTTATTACTCGACTAATATTTGTACGACCAATATGATATTAGTCAAGTGTAATAATATTGTGATTTTTTTCTGTAGTATAACCATATGAAACAAAGAAAAGAAAGCACCAGGAACTATTTTCCTGAATAAACTGCTATCAGAAAACTGTCGTCAAATTTTTTCCACCTACTTTTACTTTGAAATTGCGACTATTATGTAAAATTTTGAATAACTTATTCGAAAAGAACTATTCCGTGACAATTCAATTCGAAAGACAAACCACTCTAGTCACAATCACATCAGAATTAGAACCAACTTCTCAACCGGTTCATTTGAGATACAACAAATCGATTAAGATCAATGATTTAGAGATACAGATACATGAGCCTCTTTAAACGCTTGTCTAACCTGCTACATGGGAAGACTAAAATGACTAGGTTACTGTAGTTGGCAGACCGAATAGTGTCCACAAATCATTGGCAGATATATCAATCCTTTTGACCAGGAAAGAGAAATATTTAAGGTAAGACTTGAACTAAGTGTACAATCGGTTCCGTCCAATAATATCCCTTGTTATCATCTTTCACCCCACTGTTTGGCTTTGAAATAACATGTAATATGTTTAGACTTGGATAGCTTATTAATACGTAGATTATATAATGATAATTTGTTTAAAAATGTGCAATTGTTATACTATGTATAATAGTAGAGCCTAATGGTTGAAACAGTCAAGTAGTAGCTTCAAAACTCACTCCATATATATAGCAGTCTTGATAAGAAGATAGTATAATTAGTCGCTAATCTCTGCAGACCCAGAACAATTATAGCTTAAAGTCAAGTATATGAGGATGAACTTGTTTACTTCTGAGTTACATTAATTACCAAATTAACAATGCATAATAAATATGCCAATATCAGTTTATAGAAGAACAGGAGGATCGTAACAAAAAGAAAAAAACAAACAAATTATATATTTATTTACAAATTTTTTTAAATTCAATAATTCAATAAGGCGATGTATGAACAACTACAAGAAAACTTTTAAAAACAATTCACTTCATTCACAGTTTGATTAGAAAATAAACGATCAAATGAGAAACGTACTAGATCGAATGTTTTATATTGTTGAAAGGCAATCAATTCAGAAATTGATTTTCCAATTGCTATAGCATGCTGTGTACCATGACCACTTGAACCATTGCAAAAATACATGTTAGTATGTAATGGATGAGAACCAATAATTAAATTTTGATCCCATGTATTATAATCACATATGGATATCCAACCTGAAGTTACCTATTTACACATTGAATGAAATGATATGAGTATACGGATACTATGTTTTGAGATTATATTAATTAGTATTTATGAAGATAATATGCATATATATATATATATATATATATATATATATATATATATCAATTGTTGGAGATCCTGTTTCTGATCCGGAAATGGACAAAGGTGTTTTATTCCGGAGTTAATGTTCACTAATTAGTGTCAGGGGAAATTTCACATTCAAGCCGACGTAAGACTGAAATCCTGTGAACAACTTTTGTCCATCTTAAAATCTGAAAAACAGGTAAGTTCCTATCGTTTAAAACATTTTAATAAGTTAAGACAAAGATCCACAAATTTAATAATACTTTCTTGTTTGTTTTTTGGGTACTTCAAAATGCCGAGTCAGAATTCAATGATCAACATTTCCAAATTCCATTGATTAATATATAAATATACCATACTATACTATAAATATCTAATTGATAAATTTCACTAAGAAAACACACAGAGTTATTGTGTAATCTAAGCTAAGTCAACAAATGTAGTCAAATCACACATCTGACATCAAGTGATATAATCTATTTATCAGTATTATTTTTCAAGAGAAATAAATCAAATTATTATATTTAAATCATCAAGTTAATTACTTCAGCATCTTTAAATCCTGGTATACGTTTACACAATAACGGTTGAATATATTCATGGAAAAATTCATGGTTCACCGAATTCTGATATTAAAATAAAAGAATAGAAAATGGTAGGAATTGAAATGAAAATTAACTGACGATTCAAATAATACAATAAAGTCTAATAAGATGCAGCTGGTGAAATATTAATCCAGAGATTACGCAGAGCAGTCCGAATATCATTCAAAATCAGCGAACTAAGACTAGTGTTTTCTGCACACTAAGGCTAAAAGATGAACGACCTAGAATAACCATCCCGTTTTGTATTTATCAGTTCCACTGCTCTTGTGGAGCAAGTTATATATTGGTCAAATTCCTAGGAATTTACACCTTCGTGCTCGCGACCACCTCTCAGCGTGACTAAGCGAAGTTTTAGTAGTGAACAGTTCGATATTGGCTCATTTAGCGCAAGCTGGTCATAGTGCCAGTATAAGCCAATCTTTTTCAATTATTTATCCAATCAGTAATTTTTTTCAAAAGCCTGTCAAACTCAAAGTCTTCAAATGGCGGAAGTAGTAGCCATCTGGATCAAGAAACCGGAGATTTGTGCAAAAGAAATATCTTCAACCACTTATCCTACCTTCGATAAGTCAATAGTCATCTTAATTATGGGATGATCTACTTTGACTGATCTACATACATCTTTTCTCCTTTATATTTTCGTAATTTACAATGATTTTAGGTAACTTTTGTTATTGTTATGTGCTATATATTATTGTAATAATTATCACAATTACTATTACCATCAATCTTGTGAAAACACCAAGAATTTGATTACCTATTATCCCGTTTTATTATCCCATATTATTGTAGACACTAAGTATTCTTTGACCGAACAATTTGATTTGATCTGCAACTACACAATAGTTTCTTTCACTCTGGATTAATCAACCTCGTAATTTCTTTTAATGTATAAACCTATTCCAGTTAACATTAGGTACTAATCATTTCAACATGAACAATTCTATTTTAAAATGTTTTATATTCCTATGCTGGATTATTTGTCTTAAAATTGACTATTCTTTTGAAACCTACACTTGCATTTATAAATGTAGAACTTGATGTGAATATGAAGAGTAGAATATTCTTTATTCAGATATTTTCTTTAAGAGTTTCGATTTATTCATTGAAAGCCAAGAAGAAAAAAAGAGTTCCAATCTATTCATAACTGTTGTTTATCTCCGAAGTTAGATTATGTAAAGCAATCGATAAGTCAGTCAGTGAAATTCTTCATTTTAAAGCTTTTGTAATAAAGATAAATTGTTCTATTGTGAAAAGTATTCGTTAATGCGTTCCCATTTTTTTTCGAATATAAATATCAATGATTTAATAATCATTACGGCAGTAAATTCAAGTTAAATAGAATTTGAACCGCGGTAAAAAAAACAACTAAACGGATAAATGTTTATTCAATAGTAAATAGATCTCGTGGGACCAATTCTGAAGAAAAACAGTATGATGTGGAAACAAATTGCTGTTAGACGAATGACAACTTAATATTATTTATGATTTTCTAGAACTACGATTCCATAATTGCCTATTCTTAAGCTTTCATTTTTCTTGAGTGATATTATGAAGTAGTCACTTGATTTAGCAAAGGTGTAGTGAAGACAGTGAACAGCTCAATACTGGCTTAATTAGTGCAAACTGATCATAGTGCCAGTATAAGCCAACCTTTCACAATAATTTATCGGGTCAGTAATTTTTTGCCATAATCTGTTAAATGACTAATTGAAAAACATAAAATATAACGACAGAATCTAATAATTTAAATTACTGAAAAAATTATGTGATATTTTTACACTAATCTCCTGCACTTCAACGGGATATTTTAGTATGAGCAGTATGGAACGTTGCTACTTACACTGACTGATAACTGTGTAATGACCGATGTCATGTTTATCTAGTTCATTAATGCTGACCGAACTCTATAGATCAAGTTAAAGTGTGGCTATAGTAGATTGTGTCATGCAGAATCCCATGTACTATGTTTTGAAGTTAGGTGGATAGTGAAAATCAATGGGAAACTCTGGATATAGATTTCATAATAGTTGGTATTCGTCAGCAAGTTGTATCTGAAATTTTGTGGAGATTAATGCTCAGCCAGTCGTGACCTAAACAGCCCAGTAGCAAAGTCTATGACTGTGATACAGGTTAGACCTAACTCAAGTTCCATAAATAGCATTGATTCCCTTAAGAGTGCAAGCAGTTTTTCCTGAAGAGTAACGGAAAGTACGAAACATAGGTCCAAGGATTTATGCTGATTACCTACAAATACTTAACACTTATTGTTTGTGATGTTTTCCTTCTACAGGCACGTTGTCCAATCTAGCTATCTAGATGTAATTGGGAAAGTCAAATTTGTCGAAATAGAGAGCAGGTAATAAAAATACCTATATATAGTCTTAAAAAATAAATAACTTACTTGTTTATTACAATTATTATTAAGAGAATCAAATTTAGGATTATCAGAATAAACAATAAATTCCCCGGAAAGATCACGACGTTCAATAAATAAACGATTATGATCTATCATAAATGGCATATCTAAACCAGGTAATGGATAATGACTTTCTATATGACTAAGTGTATTTTTAGGTCGCACAACGAAAATTTGACGATATCTAGATCAAGAGATAATGAAGAGAAGGGAACAAACAACTCATGAGTACAACAATGAAAATAGAATATGAATAGTTCATTAATGTGAACAATGATATCATTGTCTAAACCTTAACCTATAGGTCTTGACGAACTATCATTAAAGTGACATTTAAAATTTTTATAAAATTTGAGCATAAACTTTTAGTCTAACATCGCTATTATTTGGAGAAATTTCAATAATGATTAATGAGATGGAACTAATTCTGATAGACTTGAAAATTTTGATATTTTTAGGAAAAACTATTTAAAAAATAAAAGATTTGACACAAATGTGCATCAGTTGGAGCTAGTATAGTTTACATCAGTATGGGATGGGGAATTAATTAATAAGATTATAAGCAAAAGAGTTAAAACAATAATATCGATAGCAGTGAAACTTGCAGAAAATATAGTTTGAAAAGATTGTGTAACACTAAAACCGAAGGTTCAGAGGAATAAAGAGAATAAATATATATGGGTTACTACAAGAGATTCCAAGCAATACTACTCAAGCTATCTGCTTACAAACAATGACTACTACACGGATCTAATCTAGAGCAAATTTCAATTTAAACCTTTGCCACCCAGCATAGAACGTTAGAATAGACAGTGAAAAGAGTAGACAATACATGTTTTACCCTCAGTCGATTAAAACTCAGCTTTATAGATTGATTTATCATCTCTATCTAGTATCCTATGCATAACCTTAGTAATACTCACAGTGTTTCACATTTGTAAAGTAATAAGGTAAAAACTATTGTGGAGTATAATGACGTTTTGAAAAGAAGATAGATATCTTTCGTGAACTTGTAGTGTCGGTTGCTATGCAAGTCCACATAGTTTATTCTAGCTTTCAGACAGGCCGATTTATCCATCCTTCTTGAGTCAAAATTTGGCCTTGTTAATTATTAGCTTATTAATCCTGACTGTTCTTTATATGATCGTATGCGTGAGCATTTCTTATCATATCCGTCACATGTCTGTAACTTATTTTTGTTTGACTGTAAATATCGATTCACGCTTGGTTAAATCGAGTTGGCCCACTCGCCTTCTCCATCACGCGTCATTATTCTTTCCTTTGTTTTCCAATCAACGATTGCACAGAATATACGTACTCAAAAATCGTTCTGGTGTTTAACTTATTGAGTTCCGTTATTCACTAACGCGATTAAAGTTGATGATTATACACGAGGATTGGCGACATGTATATTTCGATAACAATCAGAAACGATCTAACTGGAGTCAGATACCGAGCCACTAAAAACTTCAGATGATGGAAGTGACAAATACCAAGCCAGGTTAATGTAATCGTTCTGGGATTTAGTTCGCTAACGACCTAGTTGGGTTGGTGAGACTCGTAATGTAAGTGAATTGATAAACGAGCCCAACTACTTTAGTCTCTATGGTCAGCTAAGCTATTGACTTAGATCGGTTCTGTGGGAAGATTTTGTATTTAGAGGGAGTAAATAGATCTGAAAACCCTTGATTCGTCAATTTGTATTTATTCAGAGTATTTATTAAACAGGGCGATGTTTGTTGTGTGCTTGAAGTCTGTAAGGAAACTTTCACGTAGAAGGCTAATTTCTATGGTATAAAATGACATTTGCGTACTCAAGAAATAGGAAAAAACAACTAGTGTTATTGGGTTAAAGATAAAAATCATTTTGAATTTCTCCTACATTCAAAGCAATTTTTTGTACTAAATGTTAAGATAAATAAGATTTGTAACCTGAAGATTCCGTAGAATTTTCGAATGCTTACTTTGAAAATAAATTCCATGATAACTTATGTAGAAGTGAGGAGGACAGGAAAATGATATATATAAAAAAACGATGAATTTAAAAAGGAAGTAAACTATTTACAAATCACCTTGGCTCAACTGGTAACCGTAAAGGAAGATTTTCGCTGCCAATTTCAGCCAATTCAGCCACATGTGCTGCCCATGGACCTGCTGCATTTACTACTGAATTAAAACTAATAGAAATATTCATTTGGTTGGGAAGGGAAATCTGAACAGATTGGAATCAAACAAATAAAGATACGTGGATTAATGGTAAAAATGCATATTTTCTAAGGTAGAAAAAGAATATTTTATGTAAATGTACATTTGATTCTTTTGAATCGATCAATTGCAAATATTTCAATGGCTTAAATACATTCCTGTAAAGAATATATCATCACGACTGTACCTTCGAAATAGCATGAAATCTGTAAAAAATTTTCTTAAATAAAAATATTTCCATTATTACTCATATGTGGTTAAGTGATGCTTACTTACAAAAACCGTACTACTAACGCAAAGCCTCTCAAAGAAGTAGACTAAACGACTGGTCGGTAGTATGACACATTTATATACAAGATACTGAATAAGAGAAGTAAACATGATTAAAAGTTATTTAAAACATAATTGAATGCTGGGTATGAGTTCTGTAGGTCAGTCACCAGCCTATGAAGTTTGGACCACAATATCAGGTTTATTTATTGCCCATTGTATCAATAAAAACTTATTACGCAAATTCAATAGAGCGATATAATATATGATCTACCAAGATTACTTATTCATTTAAAAAGCCAAGTAGAAATTACTGCTATTGTATTTAGTTAAGCTGAACATCAGAACTGTAACCCAGTACAAACATGTATGTTAATGCACTTCGTCCTGAGATTATGCTCTCAGATTGACGGTTCGTGACATGACCCAACTGCTGGAGCTAAAGTGGTTGGAGTAGGATTAAAACATGCAGCTCAAAGGTTGAGATTCAAATGATTAAATCACTAAAACACTGCTCCAGTTTGGTTGAAATTACTCTTTGTATGCTGTATTTATGAATATGAAAAACGCTGGTATTTTAGCTGGAACATAATGGACAGAGGTATATTATTTAAAAACCAAGGTAACCTGTTGGATAATTGTACTTGTGCAAGATTAAAACGAACAGAATTAGATGACTTTGTTAAAGCTTACTGTAGCAGAACGTAAAGGTTTACATGATACTGGAGGTCTCTGTGACTCCCCATCAGAAGAAGATACCATAATGAATGGACTAGCATGGAAGTCAGTCACTTCTCCAACAACATAGTTTACTCCCATGAAATGACATTTTATTTTCAATGCCTTCAGTAGAAGAAAAGGATCAAACCATCCTTCATTTTCATAACCTAGAAAAGAAAGTAGATATGTTATTTGTTTGAAAATACGAAGATAATTAAACAAACTTAATGAGAAAGATTATTTTTGATATGAATCTAGATATACCATATGATAACCTAAAAAGAGAGATCATTCATTTCACATCTTTGACCGATCAGCAGATAATCGAGCAGCCTTTAGTTAGAGTACAGCTAGGTGACAATACACAGTCAACGTTGAAATGGCATATGACAAATATATTGAGAAGTCGTCTTGTGCATAAATTCCCATTATATCATTTTTGGCTCAGACGTCTCCGTGTATTTAGTGTCGGAAATAAAAAAAGTTCAACTACATACAATGTCACCGATGGTAAAGATTCGTGTAACTGACGTCAGGTTCGAGCATGTACAACTTGGTACTGTTGAATCCTTACCACCTAACAATTTTACACACTAGCATGTATTGATTGATTCACTAGGCGGCCGATAGCCAATTCATTAAAAGACACTACAGAAGAGGTAGTGGTAAAGAAATTTGTGAAGGACTCGGTTGGCAATTTTTGAGTTCTAAAAACAACTACCACAAACAGGGGTTCACGATTCGAAAGTCGTCTGTCTCATCGCCCAGTAGTCGTTGAGCATCAAGTGAATATGAACCACAGCTTGTCACCCTGCCACAGACGGAATGATAGAGGTTTCACTGACAACTAAAAGCCTCTTTAACAACCATGGGATGTCAATCTCCCTTTAGTATTACTAAAGATTCTCACAACCTTCAAGCGAGGCATCGGGTGATGGGCTGCCAAGTTGGTTTATGAAACAAAACTGTTTCAGAAATCTCAACACGGATTCAAAAAGCCCGTTTGGCTTTTGCCAACTTACGTCACCTATGGCGAAGGCGAGATATTCGTCTATCAATTAAGGGACGAGTATATACTGAGCGGCAGTTCGTTCTGTTCTACTTAACGGCTGCGAAACGTATCAATTAAGAGTAGAAGATACTCGTGAGTTACTAGTATTCGATCACAGATGCCTTAGAAATATTGTTTGAATCTGCTGGGATCACTGGATCAGTAGTAATGAGGTTAGACGCAGGGCATTAGGGAATGATGATAAATCAGTTCATGAGATTGTGAATCTTCATAGACTGAGATGGTTGGGCCACGTGTTACGTATTCCCGAAAACCGATTACCACGACGTGCATGCTGACTAGTGTTGGAGATGGTTAGAAAGTTATGGGCGGCCAAATCAAAATGTGGAGTCAGTGCTTGAGGTCACTAACTTTTAGTTTGTGCCGTGTTGGTAGATGCAGACTATTTGGTTGGGGTCCGCGCGACTATCGTAACCAATGGTTGGAGACTCTTGGTGACATAGCTCACAATTGATCGCAATGGTGTAGTGTATACACTCTCTGTCTTCTCTTAAACCATGACATTAAAACCACTTTATATCTTTCTATCAACTATTTTTTCTTCTTGTGCTATGTTTATTATTTATTTATTTGGACACATGAATATTGGTACAAGAGAGCGCCGATATATATGCGCCACACAAAACAATGAAAATTCAAGAGGAATACAAAGAAAGAAAAAAAAAGCTAAGAAGCGCAACAAAAAAAGAGAGAACAATAACGAAGAGATTGGTGTAAGGTAATGTGCTAGTAATCAGGGAACCCAAAGGTACAATCGGAAGAAATCTTTCAGGTAAGGGAGACAGAACCACTTTTTATGAAGAAAGTAAAAGAAGGTTACAGCAGGATCGCCACTGGCTTCTATTCTGAGCCATATCTGATAACGTCTCTAGCCACTGTGTAGCACCATCTCTCAGACCCCAACCAGGGAGTCGTGAAGGAACAACAAAAACCAGTCCTTTGCAGCTTTCTTTCATGCCACGACACCATGTCATACACTGAACACCTCTCCGCTTCTTCCAACCAGTCCCAGAGTCGGCAAATAATGCACGACGTGGAATTCTCTGGGACGACATTCGGAGAACATGTCCAAACCACCGAAGTCGGTGTTTCAAGATGGTAACACCAATTGAATTATCATCTCTGTGCCCTAACACACGATGCCGAACCTCTGCATTACTGACATGGTGTTGCCACTGAATGTCAGCAATCCTTCGGAGACAGCGATGATCGAACACAGAGAGTCGTCTAACGTCCTCAACTCGGAGAGGCCAGGTTTCACAAGCATAGAGCAAAACTGCTCTCACCGACGCGTTGTAGATCCGACCTTTTACGGCCAGACTAACATCACGAACGCGCCATAGATGGCCCAGATTGGCATAAGCCGCTCTGGCTTTCACTATACGTGCATTGATCTCATCACTCACACCCACACCAGTACTTATGCAGCTACCCAGATACACGAACTTCTCGACTACGTCTATCTGCTCACCATCCAGGGTGAGTACAGGATTGGAATCCTGCCAGTCTTGTAGGAGTACTTTGCACTTCGAAGGTGCAAAGCACATACCATACCTACGGACACTGATTGCCAACTGATTAAGTGCGGATTGCATGCCTTGGGCATTCTCGCACAGTAAAACAATATCGTCCGCATACTCAAGGTCGAGAAGTCTTTCTCCAGGCAACAGATCCACACCACCATTACTTACATTCATCAGAGCTGTTTCCAGAATGTCATCGATGGCAAAGTTGAAGAGGAATTGTGAGATTGGGCAACCCTGCCTAACCCCACTACTCGAATGGAACAATGGAGAGAGGTGGTTGTATGCCCTCACTCTGCCTGAGGTGTTTTTATATAGGGCTTTTAGGATGTTAATAAACTTCTCAAGCACACCCTTCTTCAATAGACAATCCCAGAGAACAGTTCTGTCCAACGAATCGAAGGCAGCCCTGATGTCAAGAAACACTACGATTGTTGGCCTTTGATAAGTATGGCGATGTTCTAACATTTGGCGGAGGGTGAAGATATGATCAATACATCCTCGACTAGAACGAAACCCAGTCAATCTTTCTCGGGTTTCGAACAACCTAAAAAGTATGACGGAAGCCAATAGCTTGGACGCAATCGGAAGTAGACTTATCCCCCGATAGTTGTTACAGGAACGACGTGAACCCTTTTTAAAGATAGGGACGACTATCGACTCATTCCATGTGCTATGTCCTCATATGCAATCTTTCTTTTACATATTACCACCACTGAATTAACTACTTCTATGAATTCGGTGTTTATCTTGTTGTGCTAATGAGGTGTGACAACTTGGACCGATGCACATATGTGCCTGGTCCTACGTTGTAGCTGACTGACTGACTGCTCGACCTCGGGTCATAATGCGTGTGAGCCAGTGATACATATTGCCTGGCTACTTGAGAAGTAAACATGTAAAGTGGAGTTTAAACCTCTAACTCAGTAGTTGAAAGTCAAGTGATTTAACTACTTAACTGCTATTGTTCAACTATTGCAGTTATCAAACAAATTTGGGATCAAATCCTAAATGAAATATTACAGATATATTCCAATACACACTAACCGTAGCAACCCATTTCAATATCGTCAACATTCATCCATGGCCAACGCGCAGACAGATCGTCTTTAGTTAGCAGTTCAACTTTTGCTCCTAGATCACTATAACAAATAGTAATTAGTAAGGAGACAAATAACAATAAAAGTGTACATCTGTAATAAATAATTCTCTTTTAACAAATCCACATTCTCAGCATTTGCTAACATTAAACAACCTTGAGGATTGAAACCAATATCTATGTTTTCTGTTGGATCTTAACTAAACAATTTATAAAATTACTCGTTTCAAACCTTCCACCGATAGATAATTTGAGACATTTCTCAAAAACCCAATTGAGAACAATGACATCTGTATATTTTCTGGTTCTGAAAATTGTTGTCGTATAGATCCTAGTCCAAGAACTGTGGCTGACTGACTATATGTAGGATCCTTCTCAACAACAGTGACAGAAAACTTTGAATCACGTCGGAGCCAAAAAGCTGTTGCCCAACCCATGATACCTCCACCGATAACTAGCACATCTGTGTTTCTCGGAACTTGATCTTCTCTATCTAGGTATAAGATAAGGGAGAAATAGTATATTGACATGCATGTAATATGTGAAGTAGACCATTTTAAAGGTAGCCTTGTGTATATGCTTCTTTTTTGACTTTTGACAAGGCCAGAAGATACGGCATAGTTTAATCGATTTAATCCAAACTTCAGCATGTGATTTTCTAAAAACTATTAGAAAAGAATGGACTGCTTGAAGTTGTGATTAAGAAAACAAACGTTTACCATGAATAACAAAAAAAACAACGTAATGTGTCAGGAATATCGAAACTTTAACGGGTTTTAAATCGAAGTTCATCATGATTTTTGATTTCTTTCTTAGATCTGTGAGGATAACTTAAGAGTCAAGAAGGCAATTTTGGTTGTGTTACTGTTATTAAACTGTAAGACTAAGTAAAGCTTTTTCGTATCAAGAGACACTAAAATAACAAGTTTGAAAGTACTAGAGATTTTTGTAATGTTCTTGAAAATCAACTGCGCAGTTTTATGAAACTACTCAAGTGAATTGTTTCGCACCTAGTCAATTGGCCACTAAATTTTTCGTCGTTTTTCTGTATATCAGATCACGATCCTATCTGATTGGACTTAAATTGTTGATTTAGGTGAGTTTTCATATAACTTTCGTAACAACATACTACAAAAGAAACCAAAAGCAACATGAAGAGCAAGTAATCTAGGACGGGAACAACATTTTTGAGTGGTTGGTTTTAAAATAGGGGGAAGTAGTCTGAGCGAGAAAAAACAACAGGAAAAAGGGAATAGATATGAGTCCATAATTACGGTTTCAGACTTACGTTGGTATTGTACCTCTCTCCTTTAAGGTTGGTAAAGTCATACTTAGTGTATGTGGTATGCATATATGGATACTGTGCAAGTTGCACAAGTATCTTCAATACTCCTTTCCACTGATGTAAAACATTTTCGAGGAATAACAGATGCGGATGCATGTGCAATTTAGGCGAACTTAGATGTTCTGGTTAGCTGTATTAGAAAACAGTTAATGGCCATCAACACAAAAGGTGTGTCTCCATGCCCTTTGAGGATACAAAGGTAAATAGGTACAGTATAGGGAAAGAGTCGAGACCCGAGGCTCGGTCACACAATGATTTTGCAGTAACAATGAGCCGTGGTCATGCGACGACACCCCACGACCACGCAGTCGCAGTTAATAGGTTTTAAGACCGAAATTTATTGCGCCGGATACTGATTTGTTCACAACAGTATACACAGTGTGGAGGGGAATAATATTTTGTTCAGGAAAGACTCATCATGCTTGACAAATCTGCTCATTGCAAGAGAAGATTGGGCTGCAGCGAAAGATAGCAATATCCCTGTAGATGTAATTTTCATAGATCCAAGTAAAGTCTTTGGCAAGGCTTCCCATTCGGGTCTTAAATTAAAACTAGAAAGTTTTGGAATCCATTATAAGGTTACAAACTGGATAATTGGCTTTCTCAGTAATAGGGGACAACGGACACGGGTAAATGGGGCTGTGTCAGTGTGGGAATCTGCAAAAAGCGGAGTTCCCCGATGTAAAATCCTCCGTCCTTTTCTTCTTTACTTTATGTAGATGACTTACCAATTGTAGCAAAGTGATTCGTTCTATTCTTTGAGGATAAAATAAAGATTTGGAGGTCCATACACAGACAGAATGATATTATGGGATGACTTAGATTCAATGATTGAGTGGATGAATAGATGGTCACTAGAAGTTAACTCCAACAAGAGTTTGGTGATGCGACTAAATAACTGCGACGATTCATATCATTACACAGTACATGGAGTTGTGTTACATAAAGTAAGCTGGGAGAATATATTCTCAGTGTCTTACCAGATGACTCTAAAGGAGTTCAGGTAAAAAACTGGTTAGAATAGGCAAGAGGACTGAGGAAAATGTTGAACCCCGACCATGTAGACTCCTTAAGGTAATCTTAGGATCGGAGAAGCAACGGGATCTCCTGTTAAGTGGAGCTCGTTGTCAACACAATTCCGATATACGGGTTAGACCTGATATGTCTCTCGAAGATAGAATAAAAAGGAAGAAAGCACCAGCTGAACTAGAAACCTGTCGGCAAAACGGTGAGGAAAATCTCCGGCTAGTGGGTTTTCGGATACTCAGGTCTTGGAAGCGAATGCTATCAAGAACTGTGTGGACAGGCCGTTCGTAGTCTAAGAAATAAGTTCTATGAACTAAAAGCGTTGGTGGACAGATTAAAGCCACTCATCGTAGCAGTGACAGAAATTTGGTTAGTCCATGACTTAGACATTACACCAGAATTATTCGGATACCATTATCTCAGGAGTGATAGATATAGATGTAGAAAAGGTGGCGTCCTGTTATATATAACCAATAATATAAATATCCGCTCCTGTGCTAGCGAATCCCATGATAGCGGTAATTGTGAAATCATTAGCTGTAAATTAGCTATCGGATGTAGTACATTTATGCTCGATGTCATCTATCGCAGCCCGATCTGCTCAGCTGATGACTATATTTTAGAGCACATTCATCTTTGGAGTGCAAATACCAGATGCTTGATAACCGGAGACCTTAATGCGCCTGATATTAGTTGGACTGAGATGACCACGGAAGGATCTATAAACTCCTTTGATAGTAGGTTCCTGGTAACAATAATGGAGCATGCACTAGTGCAGCATGTATCCAAACTCACACGTTTTGGTGTTAACCAATGTTCTTCTCTGTTGGACTTGGTAATCACTCATGCGACTGAGGACATCGCAAATCTAAATATTCTTCCGCCATTAGTGAACAGCGATCACGCTGTTTTGTCATTCATGTTTAGAACTAGGGACATGTTATGCGATCAGGTTACACCCCACCCAAATTTATGGAAAGCTAACATATCAGCCATTCAGAAATGCGCTGCTAAGACAGATTGGTTTGTAGATACTAGCTTATCAGTTGAAGAAGCATGGTCTGTATTTAACGGTAAGTTTAGTTTAGTTACGTCCTCGTTCATACCATACCTGGTACCGCGAAGACCGAATAACAGTCCACCATGGATAACGAAAACAGTCAGGAAACTTAGAAAAAAGAAGAAGCACTGGAATATGTTCATCCCTACTGGCTTAGAACAATACAGATCCAGTTACTGTAAGATTAGGAATGCCTGTAAAGCGTTAATTAATAAGACTAGACGATCATATGAAAAACAATTGGTTAGGGATTTTAGATATAGTCCGAAACGGTTATTCTCGTATTTAAAAAGGCGAACTCAGAGGATCGATGGAATTCCATCACTTTTGGTACAAGAAAATCCGTTAGTCTTGGCAGAAAATGATGCCGAAAAAGCTGAAGCTTTATCGGAATATTTCAGTAAAGTGTTTTTCTATCGGTAATGAGGAACGATAAACGATTCATTGTGATCGTGGCGGCTCGCTGATGGACCCTGTAGTCATTGAGAAAGGTACTGTTTTAAGGCTACTTCAGCGTCTCAAACCTGATAAGTCCAGTGGTCTTGATGATATTCATCCTAGGATTATGAAAGCCATATCAGATGTAATTGCTGAACCATTAACGATCCTGTTTGACATGTCTCTAAGGCATTCCAGACAGCCCAGAGACTGGAAAGACGCTATAATAAGTCCGGTGTATAAGGCTGGGAGTAGGGATTTAGTTAGTAACTATAGGCCCGTTAGCTTAACTAGTGCAGCTGTAAAACTGATGGAAAAAAATCATCCGGATATGTTATAAACTATGCTGAAAGGCATAATCTTTTCTCCAGGGAACAACATGGTTTTCGGAGAGGCCTATCATGCTTGACAAATCTCATTGCAAGAGAAGATCGGGCTGCTGCAAAAGATCAGAATATTCCTGTGGATGTGATCTTTATAGATCTAAGTAAGGCCTTCGATAGTCTCCCACTCTGGTCTTGAATTCAAACTGGAACGTTTTGGAATCCATTATACAGTCGTAGATTGGATAAGTAACTTTCTGCATGACAGGAGACAAAGGGTAAGGGTAAATGGGTCTCTCTCCTCGTGAGTACCTGTAAAAAGTGGAGTTCCCCAAGGTACAATCCTCAGTCCTCTTCTCTTTTTACTTTATGTAAATGGATTACCAACTATAGAGAAATCACCCGTCCTACTCTTCGCTGATGACATAAAGATTTGGAGACCCATACACATTATGTCGGATAGGATAGTATTACAGAATTATCTTAGCTCATTGGTGGCATGGTTGGACAGGTGGTCACTAGAAGTAAATCCTAATAAGAGTGTAGTGATGCAAATAAATAACTATGATGAATCGTATCACTACATAATAGGTGGATTCGTGCTACTCAAAGTAAGAAACTATAAAGACTTAGGAGTCATATTAAGCAGTGATCTCAAAACCACTAGTCACTGTAAGGCTGCTGCTGCGAAATGCTATAGGGTATAATGGTCTATTCGTAGGTCTTTCCTGTATTTAGATGATGAAATGTTTAGATTATTATACCCGATTTACGTCCGACTACATTTAGAATATGTGATTCAAGCAGCGAGTCCTTGTTTCAAGTATGAAGCAGATATGCTGGAAAGAGTCCAACGACGAGGTACTAAGATGGTACAAGGTCTATCTGACCTATCTTATCAAGACAGACTGAGACACCTCAACTTATTTCCGCTATCTTAACGTAGAGTAGGGGTGATATAATATTGGCTTATCGTATACTGAACGATGACCTTGGTATTAACATGTCTTATCTTTTACTTCCGTCCAGGACTGATCACTTGAGAGGACATTCGAAGAAAGTTCGAAAACCGAGATCAAGTCGTCTACGTCTGGAATTTCGTTTCTCGCAACGAGTATTGAATTACTGGAATTATCCACCGGAACACGTAATATAAGCACCTTCCGTTGATATATTCAAAACGAGATTGGACCTCCACAGTATTACAAACTGCAAGGATTAGTATAAGTCGACAGACCTCCTATCCTTATTACTAAAGACTAATGGAATATAAAGATCTGGGAATCATAGAGAACTATATGTGGACAGCTTTGAGGACGTAGCCACAGAGTACAAAAGCGAGAAACAAACAAAATATCCAAAGTATGCAGGTTTTCACACAATCACCAACTCTCAGAACCTGTTACTTGGAGAAATAGCGTCCGCCCCTTCAATTAACTCATTCACAAGAAGACCAAATACTTTTAGAAGTATATGCTTCTAAATATATATTGATATGCTTCTAATATATTAGAAAAGGATCCTAACAGAAGCTGTATGACTTTCATATAAAGTCATTGTGACCGTTACTAAAAAGGAGTAATTTAGTTGCTGAATGTATAGGGATTTAGGCATTTGAAGTTTGCAACGATATCGAAATTTTGTACACTTAATACACAAAACTGCAAATAAAGACCTTCAGAACTTACTGTTGCGCTACAGTTGGAACTCCGCCTGAGCCTTTTAAATGGTTCAAATGGTTCAAATGGTTGTGGACGGAATAGAAGAAGCTTTCGCTTAACAGGCTTCCGTGTCTAGTAGCAGGGGATCACCAAATCCTCCAGGCAGGAACCTAGGTATGTTAACAATAAAAGAGGAAAAGAAATTGGTAAATCATAGTGTGATGCTGTCCTTGGTCCTTAAGAATAGGTCAAGTTGCCTCTTGAAGGACTCCTGAGAAGTCGCTTGGACTAGCTCGGCCGGCAGCGAGTTCCAGCTTTTGACAACTCTTAAGGAGTAGAAGTTGTGTCTACATTCCGTCTTGCTATGTTGTGTTTCCAGTTTCTGGGTGTTACCCCTTAGGTTATTATTCGAACTAAGCTTAAGTAGGTGTTTAAGAGGATGTCCAGAAGTGTTAAGAATACTATAAGCCATTAATAAATCACCTCTAAGACGCCTATATTCTAGTGGGTAAAGGTCTAGTGAACGGAGGCGTTCTTCGTAAGGCTTAGATTTGAGTCCTCGAACTGATTTCGTGGCTCGCCGTTGGATACGCTCCAAAGTGACCTTGTCCTTTTGGAGTGAGGGGGGAGTACTATGTTTCCGTACTCTAAATGGGGACGGATGAAACTTTTGAATATTGTATGGAAAGTTCTTCCGTCAAACTGTCCAAAAATGCGCTTCAACGTTACCAGTGCAAGGTTTGCTCGGAAGGCATTTTGTTACAGTTAGCGTAAGACGCTAACGTGATCTGGTACAACAAATCGTAAACTATGAGTCTGTTCCTTTTTGAGATTCTATAAATCATTGCCCTGTCTTAATTTTTTATACATTGGGATATTTTTTCGTGCTTTTTGGATATATATATATATCCCTCGTTCATTATCGTACTTCATATTTCATCATGACTGAACAGACACCCAAAGTACTTAAGCTTAAGACTTTGTCCCCACCTTCGTTTCAACTGATGCTCTTCTGGCCAGACAACATCAAAGCCTGGTTCTGCTACGCAGAAGCCGACTTCTTCGAGCACGGCGTGATCGACACACGTGCACAATTCCTCTCAGTAGTCAAGGCACTACCGCGCGAATTCAACAGGTGCGTAACACCTAGTATGTTTACTGGTGATGTTTCTGAACCTTACAAAACGCTTAAACGTTCAATCCTTAAACGCAGAGACCTTACCGATAGACAAAGGTTAAACCACCTCCACAACAACACCGACCTGCAACACAGTTCAGCGACGGACATGTTGCAACGAATGAGAGAGGTTATCGGCCAAAGAACTTTCGATGATGGCCTATTCAAACAACTTGACATAACAGAGTAATGTCGTGCACTTAATTTTCGTAACGACCGTAAGCGATCGCACACCCCACGTAGAAGCATTTCACGTAAGCGATCTGTCTCTAGACCACGAGAGACGGATAATCCCGACTGGTGCTGGTATCATAACCAGTATGGAATGTCTACCAGAAATTGCAGAAAACCCTGTAACTTTCCCAACTTAAAACCGAGCGACACGGAAAACAATTCGGGAAACTTCCAAGCCGGCACGCGTTAACGGCAACCGTAGGCAGCGAACATAGCCGTCTGTTATACGTCACAGATGTGGCAACGAGAGTTCGCTACCTCGTCGACACTGGCGCAGAATTTAGCGTTCTCCCAGCGAATTCCGACGACCGGCTTTAAACTTACAGGCGGAAAACGGAAAGCCTATCTCTACGTATTTCAAAAGGTACGTCTACCTTAACGTGAGATTACGCAAACCCATTCACTGGATCTTCGTTGTCGCAGATGTTTCTGTGCCAATCATTGGTATGGACCTTCTACAACACCATGATCTAATCATCGATACGCACAAACGGAGGCTAGTAGACGGAAACACTAATTTATCTGTTTGCGTATCTTCTTTTTCTGTGTGCAGATTATCCCCAGTCACAATTAAGCATATGATAGACCCACTTTATCAGCCACTTCTCGATAAGTATCCTGGGGTACACCAAACGCAACCGAAATTACCGTGTGTAACCAGCAACGTTACACATCACATCACGACTACAGGACCACCTGTATTTTCTAAGGCACGGCGACTAGCCCCCGAAAAGCTAAGGTTGGCGATAGACGAGTTCGATCACATGATAGACTTAGGAATCATACGACCGTCAAACAGCACATGGGCATCTCCGTTGCACATGGTCCCTAAAAAGGACAGCAACGGTTGGCGTCCAACTGATGACTATCGGCGATTGAATGCGAAAACCATCCCCGATCGTTACCCGTTGCCTCACATTCACGATTTGACAGCTACCTTGAAAGGTACAACTGTCTTTTCGAAAATCGACTTAGTTAAGGCGTATAACCAAATCCCTATGGCTACTGACGACATACCGAAAACAGCCATCATAACTTCCTTCGGACTCTATGAATTTTTGCGAATGCCTTTCGGTCTAAGGAACGCTGCTCAAACATTCCAAAGATTCATAGACGACGTCTTTCGAGGTCTCAACTTCGTACACGCGTATGTTGACGACTGTCTAATCGCAAGTCCGGACAGAGAAACACATCTCAAGCATCTGGATCTTGTTTTCGACCGACTACAAAAACATGGCATTACTGTAAACGTTCAGAAATGCCAAATCGGAGCTGACTCATTAGACTTTCTGGGACACACTATAGATGCTCAAGGCATTCGACCTCTTAGGACCAAAGATGCGGCCATTCTGGATTACGCAGAACCGACCACGATCAAGCAACTACGAACGTTTAACGGCCTTGTAAGTTTCTATAGACGATTCATACCTAAATGCGCATTACTCATGAAACCTCTTACCGACCAACTTCGTGGAAATGTGAAATCCATTAATTTGGACAACACCACACGAAAAGCATTCTCCACAATTAAGGAACTCATCGCTAAAGCAACAGTGCTTGCACATCAGGACACCCGAGCACCCATTAGTATCACAGTAGCAACATCCGACTCAGCAATCGGAGGAGTCTTACAACAATGGGTTAACAACTCCTGGCAACCTTTGGCATTTTTCTCTAGACGGTTGCTAGACTCCGAATCGAGGCACAGCACATTCAGTGGGGAACTCCTAGCTATGTATTGTGCTGTAAGGCATTTTCAACACTATATCGAAGGGAGTGAACTCACCCTTTTTACTGACCATAAACCTCTTACTTCCTCGCTAAGCTCATCTTCAGACAAGTACTCATCTCGTGAGTTTCGACAACTGGACTACATTTCGCAGTTTGCTTCAGACATCCAACACATTTCTGGAGAAAACAATGGAGTTGAAGGTGCCTTGTCTCGAATAACTTCCTTAAACAGTTTCTAAGGAATCCACCTTCTTAAACTCGCCCAGCTTCAAAAAGAAGACACTGATCTTCAGCACTAGTTGTCGTCCACAACACTCAAGCTACCCACAAGCAAACGGGTTGGTTGAACGTTTTCACCGACAACTAAAAGCTTCACTATCGGCTGCAAACACTTCTCAGTGGACTGACGCACTTCCACTCGTCTTACTAGGTATTCGCAATGCAATGGAAGCTGACATTGGATACTCTGCGGTTCAACTCGTTTATGGAACGACACTTCGATTTCCAGGAGAATTTGTGGATCCTTCATCCTCTTCAATGAGCATGGATCTAACCTCCTACACGAACAGGCTTACAAACGCAATGCGTTCAGTTAAACCTGCTTCCACTCGACCTCAATCAACTGATGTTTTCGTTCAGCCTGACTTACCATGTAACAGCTCAGGTTGGTTGGGTAAGAGTTGACCCCAAACAACCAAGCTTATGCCAAAACAGTATTGTTCAAGTATTCATTCACTTCCTTATTTTTCATAAGCGTTATATTCCCTATTATCTTATATTGAATGTTGAGAGCCTTTGTTTGTCTGAACAGATAATCCCACGCTCCACTGCGACTGCGCTAAGATCGAAATAAAGACCTATTCACTACTTCTCTGGTTTCTTCTATCAATAGCACGAGGGTTACCTTAAGGCACGAAACTGGTGAGCCCTTTTTGAACACAAATTTAACCTCATTTCTGTTATTAACATTTTTTTTACTTAATCGTAAAAGTAGACCTGATTATCCGTAAACTAATTTGAGTATAAAACTAGTTTATTCCGTATTATCTTAAGTTATTCGTGTTATAGTAACCACTTTTTGTGCTAACTTTATTGCTATATTTGTCACATACCTCATGTCAGACTCAATAGAAACCCATAATCTGGAGGATTTGTCACCAGTGGAGATAGACACTGTTATGACTACGAAATCCCGACTTCCAGAATTTGATCGTAGTGATCCTGAGTTGTGGTTTGCTCAACTAGAGCATTATTTCACGAGACACAATATCAAATCTGAAGGGATTCGCTATAGAGACTTGTGTTCTATCCTTCCTCCTTCAGTCGCCAAAGAAGTCCGTGACTTGATTTTAAGTCCACCATCACCACAACCATACACCATCTTAAGACGAGAGATAATGAACCGTTTATCATTATCAGATAGTCAAAGAATCCAAAGACTTTTTCAAGGTGAAACACTAGGTGATCGGTCGCCGTCACAGTTTTTACGTCACCTCCAAGTCTCAGTGGGTGATAACACAGTGGGTGAAGCAGTCCTAAAACAAGGATGGATACAAGCTCTCCCATGCTACGTCCAACACTGTTTGGATGCACAGGATCCTGAAACCTCATTATCTCATTTAGCGCGTATAGCCGACAGAATAATGGAAAGAGGTCCTCCAACTGGATCAGGCATAATAAATCACACACAAAAAGTAGAATCAGCAAAAGACCCCGTAATAGAAGGACTCATTGCGAGTGTTAAGAGTCTCACTGAGGCTGTCACCAGAATGCAAATGGGTCATAGAAACAGGAGCAGGTCACCACAACGACCACGATCTAAGTCACAAAACAGGTCACAAATGTCCAGACAATCTGGGCAGTTTTGTTGGTACCACTGGAAGTTTGGTGTCAACTCAACCAAGTGCACGCAACCATGCGCCTGGCCTAAGCATAATTCTAAGTCAGCGGGAAACGAGTAACCCCTCCCCAGGTCGCGACGACTGAGGAGGGGCGCCTAAACAGTCGCTTGTTTTATGTTAGAGACAGAAACTCGGGCTTGAATTTCTTGGTGGATACTGGCGCTGCTCTAAGCATCATCCCTCAAAATAAAACTGAGATTAGTCGAGAAACATCATCAATTACACTTCAAGCTGCAAATAAAACTAAAATTGCGACATTTGGGCAGAAAACTTTAACCCTAGATTTGGGGTTCAGGAGGCAATTCCCTTGGGTTTTCACGGTAGCCGACTTAGATCTGGCAATACTGGGGATGGACTTTCTAGAGAGATACGAATTTCTAGTTGACACCAAGAAACGGCGATTAACACTAAAAGAAACTTCGTATTACACAAAAGGCAAAGAAAGCCACATCAGCTCTCTTAACTTGATTCAAACCCCTCCAGTAACAACAGCGAAATTCCAAGATATACTCGCGGAATTTCCAAACTTAACTAGACCAAACCCACAGCCTTCCAAAGACAAACTAAAAGTGAGTCACACTATCAAAACCGAAGGGGCGCCGGTGTTTGCAAAACCCAGGAGACTAGCACCAGATAAGCTCAAAATCGCTAGGGCCGAGTTTGATTATATGCTACAATTGGGTATCATCCGTCCCTCTGATAGTCAATGGGCATCTCCTTTGCATATGGTCCCAAAGAAAAATGAAGGTGACTGGCGACCGTGCGGGGATTACAGAGCCCTAAACCGTCAAACCGTACCTGATAGGTACCCAATACCTCATATCCAAGATTTTACCAACGGTTTACAGGGTATGAACATATTCACTAAAATTGACTTAGTCAGGGCATATCACAATATCCCGGTGGCTGATGAAGATATTCCCAAGACAGCTATTACTACGCCCTTTGGCTTATTCGAGTTTGTACGCATGCCATTCGGCCTGAGAAATGCGGCACAGACATTTCAAAGATTCATAGATAACCTACTTCGAGATATGCCATTTGCGCAGGGGTATATAGACGACTTGTTAATTGCCAGCCCCGATTTGCAATCACACGAACAGCATGTACAAGCAGTGTTGAAAAGACTGGATGAACATGGAATAAACATACATCAAAGTAAGTGTGTTTTCGGTGTTCAAACTTTAGAATTTCTCGGTCACACAATAAGCCCAGAAGGGATTAAACCTATAAAAAAAGAAGTGGATACTATCAAACAATACCCCGTACCTAGTTCTCTAACACAACTGAGAAGTTTTCTAGGCCTAATTAACTTTTATCGCAGATTCATACCAGGTTGTGCACAATTAATGCAACCTTTGACAGATTCACTTAAAGGAAAACCAAAAGAATTCAAACTGTCTTCTGACGCCATCGAAGCTATTAAACAGCTTAAAGATAAACTGGCTGAAGCAACTACGTTGATATATCCGAATTCTCTTTCCCCACTTGCTTTGATGGTGGATGCTTCAGATAAAGCAGTAGGCGGTACCCTTAACCAACTGGTTAAAAACGCCTGGAAACCAATTGCTTTTTTCTCGAAAAGACTCGCTCCAGCCGAAACAAGGTATTCTACCTTCGGGCGAGAACTTCTTGCAATCTACCTGACCATTAAACACTTCCGACACATGTTAGAAGGTAGGGAATTTATAGTTTTTACGGATCATAAACCACTGACGAATGCATTAAAAGCGAGAGCCGATAAATACTCACCTCGAGAAGTCCGACACCTTGACTATATATCACAGTTCACAAGCGATATCCGACATGTCAAAGGTCAGGACAATCAGGCGGCAGATGCTTTATCCAGACTAGAAATGAACGTGCTACAGCAGTCTACAGTAAACTTCGAGACGTTAAGACACGAACAAGAGCAGGACCTAGAATTGCAAAACCTACTTAAAACAAACAATTCAAGTCTTAATTTAAAACAATTCCCATCACCTATCGATGGTATTCTAATTTATTGTGACACGACCAAGGCAATGCCGCGACCTTTCGTTCCCAAAAATATGCGAAAGTTGATATATAATAACTTTCATTCTTTGTCTCATCCTGGCGCGAAAGCTTCAACAAAACTAATCAATGCCAGATATATATGGCCGAATTTACAGAAGGATGTACACAAATGGGTTAGAGAGTGTTCAGCATGTCAACAATCAAAGATTAATCGTCACACAAATTCACCCATAGGTGTTTTCTCGCAACCAGATGCACGTTTTGCTCATGTGCATATCGACTTGGTAGGTCCTTTACCTCGTTCAAACGGTTTTAATTATCTTTTTACATGCATAGATCGATTTACCAGATTCCCTATAGCCATCCCGATAGCGGACATCACAGCGGAAACAGTAGCCAAAGTTTTCATGCAGAACTGGGTAACCATTTTTGGTACACCCATAACAATAACGACGGATAGAGGAGCGCAATTCGAATCCGAACTATTTAATAACTTGTCTAAACTTCTAGGCTCCAATAGGATACGCTGCACTGCATATCATCCTCAGGCTAATGGGATGGTAGAACGTTTTCACCGTCAGCTAAAAACCGCCCTTATATCTCACTCAAACCCCAATCAGTGGACAGAATTCCTACCATTAGTTATGTTGGGAATACGAACATCTGTCAAAACTGACGCACAGTGTTCAGCTGCGGAACTGGTTTTCGGAACAACTCTGAGACTACCAGGTGAATTTATTAACCCCAATACTAACAGTCAAAAACTTAATTTAGGAAACTACGTAGATCAACTACGGGACCATATGTCCAAACTTAAGCCAATTAATACTCGCGAACAATCGCGTGCCGTATATGTACCTAAAGACCTAAGCAATTGCACGCACGTCTGGATAAGATGTGACAAAATAAAAGCACCACTTAGCCCTCCATTTGAAGGTCCTTTCAAAGTCGTCTCAAGAAAATCTAAATATTTCGTGATAGAAAAACATGGAAACATCGACACAGTAAGTATTGATAGGCTAAAGCCGGCTTATCTAGATCATGAACCACCATATGTGTTGTTAGATCGTTTAACTGACAAATCCATTACGGAATCGAAATGCAAAGACGATAAATCTTTACAAATGACTAAAACGGTTCGCTGGGCACATCCGATTAGCCAATCAAGGATGTTGACAGTTTCAGCTGCAGGATAAAATCTAACCACGTAGCTAATCAGACCCTTCATCTATTTAAACATAACTTTTCTCCTCATTCCGCCTCACCTACAACTCCCCAGACCTTTTGCCTTTGATATATAAGTGTTATGTTAATTTTTTTTTAAATACTGGACACATAAGCTAGGTATTCCGAAACGATGGCTGCGGATTTTAATCAAACTCATACAACTAAGACTGGCAAATACAACGAATTCAAAAAGCAACCCAGGCGAGTTTTATAATTTCTTTTTCTGGTTAATTAACTATGTTGGCTGTACTTCTTATATATCTATATACATTTTTCACGTAGACTGGCTATACATATATACCATATGAACTACTTCTAAAAGTTTTCGGTTGAAGATGTGTTTAGTAGCTTGATACGCTTAATACTACTATTATTAAGTGGTTTTCTAGACAAAACATTTTGCATTAAACTATGGTCAAATACTTAATAAAGTTCTCATCATTTTTTTTCATGTTTAGGAAACTTACATAATGACTTAACCAGTTTTCCTACAACATGCTTTTTAGTGTGATCATATAACCCATCATTATTGGCAATATTCAAATTTTTTTTTAAATTTCTGACATTTAAGAATCAATAACCGTGAAGATATAGTACAGTGCGTTACTGTAAGGTTACTATGTTAGCCGCATTGATTCCACATACCTAATTTTAAACACAACTTATAAAGGAACTGTTAAGTAATCACAACATTGAACTAATATGAATATCACAGCTATGCTAACGTTAAACCAATTATTATTAGTGGTCCATACAAAATCCTGGAACTTAACACTAGCGTTATAAAAAAACATGTTATGTCAATAACTTATATATATATATACCTTTTTTTTCTCTCGTTGGTTTAATTATAACGTAAAATGGAAATCTACCACACTTGTAGTTTTTTTTTTCTATAGCATTATTATTAATAAAAACAAAGAACTTGTACTATTCCAATATGGCACTTTGACATATCAATCCGTCCTCCTGTTATCTTTCTCTCATATCT